TTTAACTACCAAATCTAATCATATGTTCAGCTGCTTCAGGACCTTACTCTTCCAACTCTGATCAACCAGATCTTGTCTGTGATCTGTCTCGCTTCATTCTTTCATGTCCTGTCTTGTAGATCTCCTTACATTAATTCTAAGCTCACAGTACTGCTTGGTTATCTATTGCTGATCATATTCTTTCCTTGCCCCTTTTCTTCGTGTCTGCGCTATTGTTCTCTTCTTACGAAGAGCCTGGTCCTTTTATTCCTTATGGTATTGTGCTACCATAAGTTTATAGATACCAAAGGCTGTGCAAAATTTAAGTAGCTTCAATTTTGCCCTTCTTTCTTGAAACCCTTTGTTATTCCCATGTGTGGAAGAAGCTAGCAAATCTATTTAACTGGACCCCACAACATAGCTTATTTTTTTGTGAGGAGGACTTAGATGCATATCAACAGTTTCCCACCATTGCTTGTCCTGGAGATGATGACTAACCTGCAAGGTGCTCTCTACAAGTCTCGTGTCCCCAGTGGGAATATATTTGCTTATAGGTACTCACATCTATTATCTTTGTCCCTTATTCTGCCTGTTACTTTAAGCTTCTTCTCACTTGGCTCCATTAAATATTTGTACAAAGATGGTCTATTTTCCATATTCTGTAATCTGTATCTGCTGGTTCTGGTAATCTTACTGTCTCAAATTACTGCCTTCATCTTTGTCTTCCCATTTACTATTGGCCTGGGTACATTTACTTCCTTTTACCTGTTACACTCCTGGATTTGTCGTCTCTAGGCTCCAGTGTTTTGAGGGGCCTTTTTTCAGTGCTTTCAGCTGGTTTTAGTGACCTGTATTAGTTAGAATCATTAACTTGAACCTTCACTCACTGAAGTTCTAAAATCTGCATGCTATGTATCTTCAGACATATTAGGCAAATCAAGGTAACCCCTAAAAGTTCACAGTCATTCGCTGCATGGTTTTATTTCATATTTCTGTGATAGGGAAATATCTTAGGTTTATTAGCTAGAAAGAATAACTTGAACTCTTTAAGCCACGACTTTTCACTTAATTCTTTACTGGTCAATGTCTAGACAAGGCCGTGAGCAGCTTACTCTGAGTTGGCCCTGATTTCAGCACGGGGTTGGAATAGATGATCTCAGGAAGTTCCTTCCAGCCTAAGTTATTCTGTGACTCTATGATGATTTTTATGTTTTGAAACTCTTAGGCTATCACTTTTTTAATGCATCCAGTGTTTTGAGGTTTAGTACACCAGTAACGTAGTCTAATTTGATTATTTGTTGCTTTTTTGAGTTGTCCTGGTCTGCCTCAAGCCTGATGGCTTTCTAGCTTAAAGAAATAAGTGATTAGAGTAAGAGTTACTATTAAGGATGACAAAAAATACTAGTAGAATTATGGATTAAATCAGAGTTACAAAATGCAGATGTCTCAATCCAGAAATCCAGACCCTGGTAAGCATCTAATGGAGCCATGTTAAAAAACATTTTTCTACTTAACTGTGCAATTGATGGCCAGGAGGAAGTCACAGAAGGCATTTTTGTTGCTGGTCCTCTTGTGAGAAGTTGCAGCAGATTAGCAGCAGCAGTCTACAGAGCTGTGCGGGAGCTGTGGTGTTTGCTGCTCTGGCCGGTTCAGGCAACCACTGGAGGGCGTCTGCAGCCGCAGAAAGCTGCTCACTTGTAGGCTAGTGTTTTAGAGGGAATTTAGATGCCCAAATCAAATCTCTGGTTTGCATTCTGATTTACTCTGTTAAGAATCTGTGGGAAGGAAGTACATATTTTGCAACAATTCGGTGTTTTGATTTTTTTTTTTAAAAGGAATTTTGCTGTCATCTCCGTAACCGTAAGCATCACATGTTCTGTGGTGGATTTGCCTTTTGCCTAGAGATTTATGGAATTTGTCATCAGTTGTTTCTTAAAATAAATATGATTTCAGTTAAATCTGCTGAATCACAGCTTGAAACATTGTCATATTATTAATTGGGTTGAGACTCTGTCTCATGCTCGTGTTTTCAGAGAAGATCGTGTGAAAGTACATGAGTTCTCCTTTCGTTGAATTCTTTGTTCTGTTCTGGTGGAGTTTTGCATTTTCTTTTACCTCTGACTCCTGTTCAAAAGGATTAATACAGTTGGCTTGTTTCCACTCATTTTATCAGAGATTTTATTGGTAATTCAGATTTCATCTGGCTAAAGAAAGATTAGAACCTCTTCTGTTGCAGACTCACTTGGAGTTCAGGTATACTTGCTCTTCTTACCTTGTTTAATGCCAGCTTTTCAGGCTGCTCTTCATCCCTGGAGAATGGTTTTCATCTCTCAAATGAGTCTGTATAGCTTGTATGGAGAGTGTTGTGGTTTAACCCCAGCTGGCAGCTAAGCCCCACACAGCTGCTCGCCCACCCCTGTCCCCCACACACAAGGGGATGGGGGAGAGAATCAGAAGACTAAAAGTGAGAAAACTCATGGGTTGAGATAAAGTCAGTTTAACAGGGAAAGCCGTGCATGCAAGCAAAGCGAAAGAAGGAATTCATTCCCCACTTCCCATGGGCAGGCAGGTGTTCAGCCATCCCCAGGAAAGCAGGGCTCCATCACGTGTAACGGTGACTTGGGAAGACAAACGCCATCACTCTGAATGCTACCGCCCCCCCTCCCTTCCTCTTCTCCCAGCTTTGTATGCTAAGCGTGATGTCATGTGTTACGGAATATCCCTTTCATCAGTTGGTGTCAGCTGTCCCATCTGTGTCCCCTCCCAACTCCTTGTGCACCCCCAGCCTACTT